ACAATTTTGGCTCAAGTGGGACTTTCATTTTCTAGATTTTTGTTGAGAAGTCCCTGCCTGCGAACGGCGAAGCTTCTCCTAGCGTCATTGCTTGTTCCTAGTTCACATACATGACAATCATATCTCTAGATCACTTTCTGTTCTTTTTTGAGGTTCCCTCCTACGAAGTTCTTTCCATGCTTGTTCATTTCTAGGCATTCACCTTCTTCCCGGCGCGATTTGAGCTATGGATTCCAGCGTTTCTTCGTGGAGTGTGGCCCAGCTTTTCCACCTTCTTTTCGTGAGTTTGTTCGAGTTGGCTCATCGATTTCACATCGCAGTTCCGGATCGTCCCAGCACATCAGCCGCGTCAGGGGGTCCTCGCAATTTCGATTGTCCATGCCAGTGTGTGTTTTGTGATCGACCCTGCTTCAGGAAGGAACCAGGCCACAAGCATCACCCCTGCCCTGAGCATAATCGAGTCCGTTGAACAATGACAGACGAGTCTTCGGATTGGGAATTCATTCTGGCCACTCCGAAAGCCGTTCCTTCGGTTGCCCCCAGAGGCCCCAGGTATCCTTCGCTATTTCAAGTTTCGTCGCATTCGATGCCGACTCGAACTTCGCCGCGCCACGCATTTGCATCAGTGCATGACCTGAGTTCGTCTGCGCCGGCCTCAGCTTTTGAACCGCCTCACCCAAGAGCAGCTCCAGTTTCGGTAGGAGATTTGAAGAAGAGCGCATTCAAATCCGCCCAGCCTTGTCCGTTTGAGTACCGCCCCACGAGTTTAAGCACACCCCAGGCGGACCTAGCCCTATCCCCTTTAGTTAAGGCGCCGCCTGTCCCGCGCGCAGTTCTTGTGAGCAACCTGTGAACTCGGCCGTAGACATCGCTCAAACTCAGGACAAGTTTAAGTCCCATCCAGCCCCGACAGGACTAAACAGGTTCTCTCACACCAAGTCTCAAGGTCAAACGCGGATTCGGCAGCCTTCCAATAGCAAAATTTTGCTTCAGAAATGGCATTCGGTTCTTGCGATTTTGGGAAGTCTGTCTCAACTTTTTGAGGCCTGCTCCAAATCGACTTTTGGATATCAGCATGCAGACAGAATTCTCGACAGTCTCGCGCCCAGCACTGCCATGCAGTATCTCACGACCATTTGCCATTTCCTTCAAGTGTGCAAAGATCTAGGACGTGAACTTGTATCTTTGACTGATGTCACATTAGCTGACTTATTGCTGGTCATTTCACTTTCTCGCCGCTCTGACGCCAGTGGAGTGAGCAGGGCATCCACGATCAAGGCTATCGGCTGGCTTCGTCGCCAGGCCCTCGTGGATTGCCTTCAGTGTGCGTATTCTCCACTTGTGGATTCATTTTTGAAGGTGAAAAAACCCCGTGATAAGAAGGAAGCAGCTCCCCTCCCCCTGTGGGTTTTGATCCAGTGGGAGCGTCGCATATTGCAAGCCTCATGCACGCAGATTGAAACTCTTGTCCTTGGATCTTTTCTGTTCATGGCATTCTCAGGTCTTCGATATGCCGACCTTCAACGTATTGATCTGACCAGCCTGGTCTGGTCTCGCACTGAGGTCAGGGGACTTTGTTGGCGTTCAAAAACCCAAACGCATGGCCATCCCTTCGGACTGGTTGCAAGCGGTTTTCTTTCAAAGGGAAATCATACATGGTTGTGGAAATTCCTCACGGTTCTTGATGGCATTTTGTCACACTTCAAGCCCTTCAGCCCCGATTTCCTCCTGCCGGATTGCTCATTTCTCGCAGTGAACCCCGCTTTCATTCCCATGTCCTATCCCAAAGCTTTGCAATTCCTCCGGCTTTGGCTCCACGCCCCGTGGCGCAGTGGCCCCAGTCCGATGCATAAGTTGGAGTTGAACTACACTATGCATAGTCTCAAAGCCACCTTTTTGTCATGGGGGCCTCAACTTCATGGCAAAGTCTTGGATGACCAGAGACTTCAACAAGGCCACCACAGTGACCCACGTCAATCACTCCGCCTTTACGGGCGAGACTCCGTGTGGGGCGCATTGTCCTTTCAGCGTCAAGTGATTCAAGAGGTTCACCAGGGATTCCGTCCGAAGATTGCGCAACATCGAGGCGGCCAGACTCCTCTGACCGAGCCCCCAATTCAACTGGATATGTATCGCAAAGACTTACCGGCTTTTGAATTCACCTGGTTCAAATTTGATCAGCCAGAACAAGCTTTTGATCCAGTGGAAATGGAAACTGTGGAGAGCTCATCAGAGAGTTCATCAGACTCGAGTTCATCAACATCGGACGCACAGGTCATCGACTCCGTACCCAAGAAAGCAAAGGTCGTAAAGACCCCGGCTTCCACACCTGACGAGTGTCTCATGGGTCGCTATCGGAGTGTGATCCATGCCCTGGTTCTTTCCCAGGATGATTTCGATTGGCGCCCGGAATACTCCGGCCATCGCTTGAAAGCGGCCTGTGGCCGAAACATGAAAGGGCAGGAAACGGTCCTTCTGTCCGAGTGGGATTCTCAGGCCATTTTCTGTCAGCATCCAGGTTGTCGCAAGGTTTGGGCTTCACTTGACATGGACTAACAAGCGTTCTCAGCCGGCTATGAAAACAGCTTCCATGGCGTGCTGGGGTTTGGGCTATTCTATTTTGGGGCCATGACGCTAGACATGAAGGCCCCTACTTTCAGACCCCACTATACCAGGTTCTAACCAGAACGTCCTGGTGGCTAGCAGCTTCTTGCTCCTAGTAGCGTTGGCCTCCAACCTACTTCTACGGGTTTCCACCTAAGGGCACAGTGGCTACCAGGACTCCTTTTTTCTCCTAGTCGCGTTGACCTCCAAACCGGTGGCATCTTGTCATGGTCTTATATTTTGAGTGGACAGGAGTGGACCACTTGTAAAAATCAATGGACTGCCTGAAAAACAGAATGGCAATAGACGTCTTTCTCGTTGGTGGTGACAGGATGCAAAAAGCTTGTGTTGCTAGAGATATATTTTGAGTGGACATGAGTGGACCACTTGTAAAAATAAATGGGCTGCCTGAAAAACAGAATGGCAATAGAAGTCTTTTTCGTTGGTGGTGAAAGGATGCAAAAGGCTTGCGCTGCTAGAGATACATTTTGAGTGGACATGAGTGGACCACTTGTAAAAATGAATTGCAGTACCCTGCAATAAAGCCATCAGGTTAATCACGTGGGGGGGCAACCACATCGATTGCAATCCTCGCTTTTGTTGGTCACATCTCATATGCCTACATGTACATGACGCTTGTTATGTGGCGGCTTCAGGATGTTTCACCTTTCTTTTTTTCCTATACCATAGCAACACTCACAGACATCCTCCATCCACTTATTTGCAATGCTCCTCCCCTCACGTTAGATCACATTTCCCACAGCTTTCATTCTTTCTTTCTCTGTAGAACATAGTGTGGATTCCACATGGAATCAGAGCCCTCTGTGAGGGCCATGGCATCCCCGCTAGAGGATCTGTTTGCCCAGTGTGGCGTGAGCTCATCAATTGCCAACGCGTTGATGACCGACGGGTGGACGTTGACCACCTACGCAAGTTGTGCCTCATCTCTTGAGGCCTTTGACCAAGTGCTCCCAAGCCTGGTGGATCAACGTGAGATCCCATTAGTCCAGCAAGCAGCGTTGAGAGCCGCTTTCAAACAGGCCGCATTTGGTTCTCCCTCGCCCACGCCGGCGACTTCAGGTTCGACGGCTGCATCCTCAGGTTCTGCAGGCAATTCATGGACGGACGCTTTCGCTCCAAAGTTGGATCCTCAGATCATCAAAGACTTGAAATCTAAGTTTCTTCAGCATTATCCATCCGAGCTCCTGAACTCAGAAACAATGCCATCGACTCGATTGTTGAGCTTAGTTCATCACCAATTGGTGAAGAAACAATGGGTGTGGGTCCCTTGGCGTTATCGTATGTCGGTTAGCCGTGCCGAAGAAGTTGCAAGCCAGCGAGCGTCCAAGCTCCCCAGATTGGAACATGCATCATTGTCAGCCTTGCTTCTTGATGACCCGCCGGCTTTGGAAATTTCCAACATGGGTATGGGGGTCAATGCCATTCGTAATATGCTTGAAGTACACAATGTCGCGATTGCCATTTGCCAAGGAGCTCATCTGCAGAATCTCAAAGCTTACACCCATAAGTTCATGTCTTTTTTGACTCAAAAGACTGATCCCGAATCCGGACTTCGCACCGCTAGTGTGACTGAATCCCAAGCCGCTGATCGTCAGATCTGGACGACGATTGCCGAGCTCATGTCTGACCGAGACTGGTCTATGGATGACGCTTTGCATGAGTTGACACATATTCGCAACGACCTGTCAGGTTACCTTCAGCTTCGACCTTGAGCTCAGAAGATTCCTTCCGGACCTTTTCAACGGCCTCCTGATGCATCGTTTTCAGCACCTTGGAAAGGAAAGAACAAGGGCAAAGGAAAAGGTAAGGGAAAAGATCGAGTCAAAGGCCGGGTCCAATGGGTTACTGATATTCAGAAGGAGGGCAAATGGCATCAGTTATGCATGCGTTTTCAGTCCGGGAAATGTTCTTCCCCCGATTGCAAGTTCACACATGCCTGTGCGTATCCGAAACCCGACGGTACAGCGTGTGGCGCAAAGCACTCGGCGTTTGATCATCAGAAGACGCCTCACTGACTCAACGTTGCGTCCTCAGACAGTGCAGATGGTTTGCAGCCGGTTGCATTAATTGACACGTTTTCACCCCCATCCACGTCGCCCTCAGCGCCTGCCGGCGAACCACAGCCAGCGCAGGATGCGGCGCGTACTGACGCATCACAGGTGGTTGAGGCTCCAGCCTCATCACATGACCCACCAACAGTTTCTTCGGCCCTCCCAAAGGGAGTGTCCACGTCTCACGATATTGTGAATTCTGTTTCATTTATTCCAGGCCGATTCTTTCTCGACATTTGTGCTGGGGTATCACGATTATTATTTACCGCATGTCACGCCAAAGGATTGAACGTTTTTTCGGTCGATATTTTGCTAGATTCAACCATGGACATATTGGACGACCAAGCATTCGAACAACTCTTGCGGATTTGTTCTAGCGGCCAAGTGGCCTATGCCGCCGGCAGTCCAAGTTGCGGTCAATACTCCCGCTTGAAGCTTCGCCAGGACGGAGGACCTCGAGCCCTTCAAACTCCTGAGAACTTGGATGGACTCCCAGGACTTTCACCGGACGACCTGACAAAACTGCAAGAGAGCTTCATCATGCTTTCCCGCGTGGTTTCATGTTTACGTTTGGTGTTTTTGTCAGGCGGTCATGTTCATTTAGAGCAACCCACAAATGCCATGTCTTGGTTGGAACCCATTGTCCGGAGTTTTCTCAAATTGATCTCTGCCTCATGTGTTTGTATTGCAGCATGCCAGTACGGTATGGACATTGCTAAGAGTTGGATCTTCGCGTCTAGCTTCAAAAGTCTTTGTTCTTTAGCCTGCAGTTGTACCCACCCAGTGGGCACCCATGCCAGAGTGCAAGGCACACGAGACTCCTCCGGTCAGTTCTTGAGTCGAATCACCGCATGTTATCCGCCCCCACTGGCTGAAGCTTATTTGTTGGTCAATTTCCCAAGAGCTTTGAAGACGGGGGCGGACTGATCTCCCATCCAGATTGGAGTGATGGACCTCGCCTTGAACAGGACTGTTTCAAACCTCTGCGCCAAACCTGGCTTCAAAGGATTGCGCAGTTGCAGTTGCACAAACAAGTCTTGGCCCATTTTAGTCAAGCTCGTGCAGACCCGCCGTTCTCGGACGATCAACTCGAACCATTTCGTAAAGATTTAATTGAATGGCTTAATTCTTTGAACCGGAAAGTGGATTGGACAATTCGTGCCCATCAGCCAATGCACTTGGCAATAATGGCCGAACTGAGCTCAATCATGCATGATGCCGATGTCGCTTTGTTTCCATGTCTTCAGGAAGGCGTGAGCACCGGTTTTTTGGGAGACATCCCTACATCCCATGTGTTTCCCCTTAAGGATAATTCACCTCCTGATAGCACCCCCCTTTCGGTTCATATGCAAAACTGGCAGTCAGCGGAAGCTGACCTCGACTTGACTCGCGAGTTGGTGCAAGAAGAAATCGACAAAGGATGGGTCTTTGAGTTCCCTGGAGACCTTTCCCAGGCGCAGGCTGCATACCCTACTGGGGTCTCGGTCGGAAAGCTCGGTGTGGCTACCTCCGATATACTCGACCGCCACGCCTAGTCGTCGACAGCTCGATTTGCGGACTAAATAACCGCTGCAAGATTCCGGAAAAGTCCACTCTGCCCACCGCCAAGGATGTCCTTCGGTGTTTTCCCCTTCGACATTCCTCCGCACCCATGATGGGACTTAGCCTTGACATCAAATCCGCCCATAAACGGATTGTTCTTCGCGAGTCGGAATGGGGATTGGTAGGTTTCTCTTTGGACGGCAAACTGTTCTTTTACCGAGTTTGCCTTTTCGGAGCCATCTTCTCAGCAGCTTGGTGGTCACGCTTGGGAGGCTGGATCCTCCGCTGCATGCATCACATGCTTTGGCTGCCCCATGCAGCCTTTTTGTATGTAGATGATTTTCTCTTCTTTCAAGACCGTGATCTCATGCCCATTTCTGCAGCCATGTTATGCATTTTGTGTCAAATCCTGAAAATCCCAATCAGTTGGCGCAAATGTGAACTCTCAGGCACCATTTCATAGATTGGCTGGCGTTTCCATTTCGCCGCCGGTTTCGTCGAAATCCCGGCAGATAAGCTTGAACAAATTCGTAAGTATCTAAGAGAGCTTGCCTCAACCCATAAACCTTCCCGCAAACTATTGGAGAAATTCATTGGTCTTGCTATGTGGTTGACACAGTTTTTTCCATACATGCGAATTTGGTTGCATTATTTGTATAAGGACTTGTACTCAATCCCTGCTTCCCATTACAGCATAGACCCCTCTGACTGGTTGCAGGTACCCCCATGTCTGTCCACAGATTTGCGCTTTACAGCACGACCTGCCGGTACTGCCATCCCATTAGGCAGCACGTTGATTTCAGTCAAACATCAACCAGTAACAACTCTGGATGATGTCCGGACGCTTCATTTGTCTGATCGCAGAATATGGATGCGCATTAGGGATCCCAATTCCTCTCGTCGGCATATCTCTACAGATTCGCATCGTATAATCACCTTATTCTCCGATTGGTTATCGGTTTTGTCTCCAGTTCGTCCCTTAGTTCCCAAACCTCTTTGGCAAGGAGAGGCAGCAGCAGATGCCTGTGCATCCGGCTCCGAATGTCAAATCGGGGGTTTTGTGAGAACACCGGACGGTCGTACCTACTGGTTCTCCGAACGATTGACCAAAACAGACTTTGACTCCCAAAAAATCCCGATTGCTTCCGACCTACAACGCAACATCACATGCTTTGAGACACTAGCCCAGATGGCACTGCTTTTTCTAGTTTCGAGGTCTTTTCCGGGTTTCCGTCTTCCCCTCCGTGTTCAAACTTTGAGTGACAACACCGGCGCAGAGGCCGGCAGCAACAAATTGTTCACTACTTCGTTCCCTCAGTGCTTATTCGTGGAGAAATTGTGTCTCCTCGCTGCTTGCACTTGCACGGAAATGGATGTCTCCCACATCCCCGGAGCAGACAATGAAGAGGCAGACGCTTTGAGCCGTTGGGACTTGACCTCAGATCCTCCGTGTTCTTTTCGTCTTGACGATAGATTCTCAATATCTCTTGATGACTTGTGGGCCGCGCCGCTTTCGGTTTCACTTCATCCGGTAGACACCAATCTGTTATGGCAACTTCCGACGTGATCTCTTGCTTGCTGGAAATTTTGTCCTCACTTGTTTTTTGGGGGTGCGTTTGGCGAGAACAGAATTTCCCCTGAAAGTTTTCCAGCAAGCGAGAAATCATAATTTTATGATTTCCAGCAAGCGAAAAAGAGATATATAATATAAAGAGTGCTCGAATTATTATATGTTTCTTTATCTGTTTAGATAGACTTATCTAAATCTTCGTGACAAATGAAAGTCCAACGTATAACTATGACTTTTCGGGACATGTCCGGACAAAACTTGTTCCAATTAGATCCACATTTTCATTCCTGACTTGTTTCCATTGCGTGGCATACTCTGTCTGTCCACAGGGTTCAACCTGGATTTTGGGTGAGCACCTTGACCCTCCCAAGGTTCAATCCGATCGACCTGTGCAGAAGACCATATCATGATGGAGCCTGCCGAGATCGACGTGCTAAAAGCATTTCTACATCCTGAAGTGGTGATGTTTGAGTTTGGAGCAGGCGTGCTTTGCCCAACGCTTCGGCAAACCTCCTCCCCCGTACCACTTGCAGCCCTCTATGTTCGCCCATGACGTACATGTAAGCGAGCTTAGACAAGCGTCGCTTCCGGGTGAACCCAAAATTCAGATCCACCCAGTAATTACCGCCGATTCAGTGCCACGACCCGATGGCCGGGACCCGGTGGCCGGGCAGGAGGCTCCACGGTGGCCTTTTCTGAGTTGGTCAAAGAGCTCTATGTGGCGGAGCACAACCCCAGTTGGGCCCAAGAGGCTCACCCGCCGGTGTCGATGGGTTGTGGCCCCAGGTGATTTTGGGAGTTTGCTTTTTGGTGCTGAACACACGTGGTGCAGACGGGGCTGAACACCTTAAAACCTTAGGAAATCAAGGCAGGTCCAAGACGAGGGCTGGTGTCTTGAAAGCTTTTGGCGGGGAGGCCAGCTTGGATGTTGGTCCTCAAGGGCAACCAGTTCCGGGCGTCTGTTTGTTTCGTTTTGTTTCTTTTTTCAAAACTTTTTGGACGCACAGGATAATTCATATCAACTTTGTTCCAGGTGAAGGAGCGCTGTGATGCTCGCGGCATCCGGAATGTGCACTTGCTCTCCGCCCTGCCCAATCGGAGCGCCTTGGAGCAAATGGGCGCCACCGACTGCGGAATTCTTCGGCCTCAGCTGGTTTTTGACAAGGCAGACCCCTTGCGCAAGACTTATGGGCCCAATCTCGATCCCAAATGGCGAGATGCTTCTCCCGCGCAGCGGGAGGCCGTTTTCAAGGACTACTTGAAGTTGATCCAAGAGGCGAATCAGTCTCGCTTCGATGTGGTTTTAATCGATGGACGCGTACGTGGTGAATGTGCACTCGCTGCTTTGCCTTATGTAGATGAGAGATCAGTGGTCATCATTCACGACTGGTTCTTGGAGGAGTGGGGTTATGAATTTCGACCTGATGGCACACAGGATTTGTCCAAACCTGTGAAAGTTGCTCCACGTGGCACGCTGAAGAGCTATCGTCGAGTTCTCGATTTTTATGACATTCTGTGTAGAGTTTCCCCTGAGACACACCCCGTGCGCTGTAGCTGTGCTGGCTTGGTGGTCTTGCGCAAGAAGATGCAATCAAGTGCATGAATTTGAAGGAGTCAATGACACTTCAACACGAGAGATCAGAGATAGCGTGAGTGAGCCACGTTGTCTAATTTTCACCAAAAGGGTGAGTGTCCGACCAAAGATGGGCACACAAGGACCAAGGATGCAAAACCACACATGCTTCCAGGCACACAAATGGGTGATGGTGCAGGTGGTGCAGGTGGTGCAGGTGGTGCAGGTGGATCCCAAATTCAGGTGATTCAGGTGCACTGATGCGTTCAATCTGTGATTCTTGCCATGCCCCGGGCGGTTGAACGGACAGTCACATCTCAAGAACGGACAGTTGATGATGCATGCTGATCTAACATGATCGCAGGGACCCACAGTTTTGATTCCACCAGGCAACCGGGAGTAGATTTCTTTTGTATTTTCTTTTCAATCGTTTGTCCTGGATTTAAAGGCAAGTTCGAGCTCTTTCATCTAGGCTGCCGGCTCTTTTTGAAGGACGGGCCAAAACAGCATGTCGTGTTGTGGTTGCCACGAGGGTCTTTGTTTGATTGCATTTGCAGCCATCTTGCGCAGTGTGACCCTCGCTGTGAATTCTTGCTCGAATCCACGAAGTTTGTCCGAAGTTGTCGCAATGCAAAGCAACGAAGTACTGTACCTATATGTGTGACGCTTTCCATCGGGATTCTGTTCAACTTGTTCTTTCTTTAGCAGTCAAGCATTCATGTTGAGTGGAGAAGGCAGCTAGCTTAGCCCACAACATCTAAGCAAAGTGAACTTAATTCGCGTCATATGCATTTTTGCATGCGAACCTAGCCGCCTGGGCCTCGGAACTTGTGCGACGGGGTCGTGCGGTGCTGGAGGTGCTGCTGCAGTGCACCTCGCATCTTTCGGGGACCCGGTAGGATCTTTTGGAAGGATTGTGTTGACTACTTAGGTTCAGCATATTTCAAGAGTCAAAAACAACACACCACAAAACCACAAAGCCGCAACAATCATCACTCATCTTCACATGAGTGATGATTTGCTGCAAAAAGACGTGTGATTCTTTGATCTCGCCAGGAGGTGTTCAGCAAAAACTCTTTGATGAGCTTTACGGAACTTGAGCCATTGGAATAATTGGTTAACTGTATTGAGCCATTGAAGGATCAGAGGCCTGAGGCAAGAACTCCAGAAATCACATTGAAGCACCAACTCTAGCTTCGTTGGTTTTTGTTGCTCTTGGAGAGCCAAAAGAGTTTGGATGCTGGACCTTGGCCATTTTGCATGTTCTAGTTCTCTTGGTCAAGCTTTCATCAATCAATAGATTCAATAGATTCTAGGTCAGGTTTCCATCGGCCAAAAGACCACGCTCGATTGGTCTGTCTGAGGTGAAAAACGGCGTACACTTCTTGACGATGTGCGCAAGCTCGTCCCGACGGGACGAGTCGACTCGTTCCGTGTTTTTTTGGGGGCAAACCAAGAGAGAGAGAGAGAGAGAGGACACGGAAGGGGAGAATGCAGAGAACCTTTTCCGTCCCTGTGCTCGGCAACATACACTTTCTGCGTACGACGGACGGACCAGATGGACCCCTGACCAATTCATTGGTGGTGGAAGACCATTTTCCGAATACCAACCCAGTGGCTTTTGGGTCCATGTCCATCTGCAGGAGGGTTGTTTTTTTCAAGGGACCTGTGGCGATCACAGTGCAAACTTTTTGTTTTTAACTGGAAGGGGCAGGGATCCGTGGAGAAACCTTAGAAAAACACACACTGACATATTGTCGCCTTTGAACTTTGGTTTCCCACCCACGTCATGACGTGGTTTCCAAGGCTTTCCAAAGCTTTTGACATAGACACATCATGTGTGTAGGTCAGAACACCTCTGGACCCAGGTCAGAACACCTGTGCACCGTAGACCTTTCAAGAAAGGGACGCGCGACTTTGTCCGAGATCGGTGCACCAGGGGGCTCTTGCGGGAAGGACTCTAACTCTTCCCGAAGAGAATTCCTCAGTTGAACTTTCGGGTTGAAAAACCACCGTGGGAGTCGGGAAAAGACTCACAACCACCAAGGTTTGTGGGAGGACTCTGGTCACTCAGCTGGCAAGTACACTCCCTGAAATGGGCACTCAGCTGGGTTACATGGATGGCACCACCTGTTTGGTATTCGGAAACCAAGATGGTCATCCTTTTGGGGTGATGCCATCCGCGTAGTGGATCGAACGTGTAGGGAGTGGTGTACTTGCCTGATTGATACGACTCACATCCGAACGACAGAAGACACCTGGCATTTCGAACAGACAGGAAGAACTCGACACTCGAACAGACCCCACAAGACGCGGACGGATTTTCGTGCCAGACGTTCGGCATTTTTGCACGCACGGGAAAAAACCACCTGGAGCAGGTTCCCTTTTCCGACCTGCTAATCTATCCAACGGATCTGTGCTCATTCTGGCTGACCAATATTAGCCATCACTGACAGATGGAGTATTAGCCATCACTGACAGATGGAGAGATCCTTGAGCTTTTCGAAGTGACCGAAAACTGACGTGACGTGACCCCCTGAATCGCCGCCACTCTCAAGCCTGGGCGGGGGGCGGGGCGAAGCACGGATGGGGAGAGTGCACGGCGTGGTGGGCGAGTGAAAAGACAGCATTCGGAGCACCCCAAGCGTTTTGAGGTTTGAACCTCGTGAGAGACATGGCACTTGCAACTTGACGGTCATGGGAGATCTGCAAGCTGGCAGTAAAGGCCTGGGGCCTTGGGCCTTTGGCCAGGAAGTTGTTTTGGGGTCGCATGGTTTCAGACTCGCATGAGCCGCTGTAGCGTGAGCGAGCTTTCCTCGCCTTCCTCAAAGTTGGGCGCAGAACCTGCCATGCACTCGCTGGTGGCACGTGCGGCGGAGGTCGGGGGCAACTTTTGAGTCGTTGATGGACGGTTCCAGAGAACACGATGCGCATGTTGTGGTGCACACCACTTTTTGCACAGCAAAACGCACTCAACTGATAGCTTCACCCCCCCCATGTTCCTACTTAACCAAGCAGAGGAACCATGGTGCCCTGCCGTCAGGCGATCTCTGCTGCCAAGCGCCTGCTGTCCGTGGTCTCTGAAACGACTTGGAAGGACGTGCCGTCCGACGCGTCCGAATGGACTCGTCCGACACGTCCGAATGGACTCGTCCGTCCGTCCGGCGGGTCTGAAGAGGGGGGTTTTCAGAGGGTCTTCCCTCCTGGTCGGAACCTAAGGAGGTGAAGCTGCCGCGTCGGTGGTACGGTTTCTTCTCCACATCGGTGCTGTTGCTGAACCCAGCTCAAGCAGGTTCCTGTTTGGCCACCTTGCCAAGTCTTTGGCAGTGGCTTGGCGGAGTTTCTCGGCTCCGTGGGGAATCGGCCTCTCCAGATCGTTGTTCTCACTTCGGATTGTAGATCTGGGACAGATCCGCGGACGTCTGGGGCGGCTTCTGATCCGACTTTGGATTGTAGATCTGGTATGGGTGATCCGTTTTGGCCTTCTGGCTTGTGACGACTGCCGATCCTTCTTCTTCCTGTGGGAAAATGGTGTCTTAGACGAGGAAAAACACATATTTGTGGGTGGGAGCCATCTATAGAAGGACCTAAACATTTGGGTGTGCCCGCCGACGACCATGTGCCCGCTGAGTGTGAGAAGCTTCACCTGTTGGACAGGAGCGATGTGAATTTCTTGCAGGCCTCCAATCCACACCAGCCACTTGGCAGTGGTTTGTTACCAGCCATGCCTGCAGTTCCGCTGTGGGGGGAAACAGGTGAAGAGCGCACATTTGAGGAGCACACGAAGGCTGATATGAAAACTCTATAAAGGCCAAATCTCAGTGTGACATTGGAGGTGCTGAGGTCTTGTAGCTCACTGGCAGATTTGGTTTAAAAGTGATTGACAAGGAGTGACATATCATTGAAGAGACATATCACTGGGACTTTGAAGCCAAAGCAAAAAGCTTGTCTACAGATGTTGTTTGCTACAATTACAGTATACATGTTCTATTTAACTCATGTTATTACATATTAGTTGCCGGAAAAGTCAGTCAACAGTCACACCACTTTTTTTTGGTGCGGACATGAAACACCTGCCATAGACTCTAGACATGACTGGTGATAGGATCCATGAACTGGCGTGGACAGAAACGGCTGGACTCACACAAACGGGTGTGTTTGCAGGCATTTCAACTATAAATGTAGAGAGGTGATGAATAACTCCCTAAACAGTGGGTTGTAAAACCTCTTCGGGCCCAGTAGGGGATGAAAAATATCATCAACCCTCTACATTATTGGTGCCTTCTTTCGCGTTCTCCGCACCGACATTGTCCGGCCAGAACATGGTCATTGATCCCAAAAAAGCTCGCAGCCGCGTCGATAGTGGGCGGCCGCGTCGCGTTTGGTTGCCAAGGTGACGGGTCGAGGAAGGGGATGATTGTCTTGGGGTGATCTGGGTGCATGATTGAGGCACTGTAATGAGCATTTCAATCGGTTTTCATCGGAAACCAAGAGGCTGAGGCACAGCCTCTATATACCAAAGAAACGGAGTGATGAGCCTTCTTCGATGCCGAGGCATCGAAGAATTGGTGGTACCTGCAGCAGGTGTTGGGAACGGATGAGATGTGAGACTGAGACCTTGTTGAGAAAGAGAAGGATCTGGAAGTGACTTTCGCTCGAGGTCGAGCTTTCCGAACTAAGAAAGCAAGAAAGTACGAGACCAAGGCTTTTGTGTCCAGCTTCAATAGCTCGAGCTTGTGCTTCAATGGAAGGTGCCGTTTTCCGTGCTGAACGGACAGTGCAAACTGCAGGTGGTGTGGCTTTACCTGTCCACCTTGGGCCTGCATGCTGCAAGGGAGCTTGGTCGATCCGCCTGGGGGAGGATCTGCAGATGTTCGTGCAGCTAATGCAACTAGTTCATAGATGAATGCAGTTCCTACAGCTCATTGAGAGGGAAGGGAGCGGGTGAAGCCGGGATGAAGGGCGAGGTTCGGAGAGCAACACACATATACACACACAGACACACTGAATGGTATGAGTGGTCAAGTTGT